ACGTCAGGAACTCCCACCTGCCACAGCCTCTTGTGGGTTTCTGTGATGCACTCTCCAGCCTCAGCCCTTGGTAATTGCACCTACTGCCACGTGCTACGTATTGCCTGTGTCACTGTCCCCAGAGTCTAACACAAAGGAATAAATGCAGGCCTGCCAGTCAGGTCACTCACTCTAGGCCACAGATTAGTAAGAGGCAGGGGAAGAGCAGTCCTTGGCCAGGCCGATCCCTGGTGAGCAGACCAGCAGGTCTATGTGATCACATTCCATGTTTCTGCTGAGAGTGATGAGACACTGACTGGGCAGAAATCACCCGGAACTGGGCTGGAATCCTACAGGGACATTTGCATGCTGTGTTAGTTTTCTTATTGCTACGCCCAAAATACAGAACAAGAAGCAATATAAGGGAGGAAGGAGTTGGAGGGGATACAGCCCATCAGAGCGGCAGGAGCATGCTGGTCAATTCCCCCACAGCCAGGAAGCAGAAAGGGGTGAATGCTGGTGCCCAACTGTCTTTCTCCTCTTTAATTTCAACCTGGGACACTGCCCCCTCCCCCGCAGCCCATGCAATGGTTCTGCCTACTGTTAAAAACCCACCTTGATTAACCTAATCTACAAATGCCCTCACAAACATGCCTAGTGGCTTGTCCCAACAGATGATTCTCAGTCTTGTCAAGCTGGCAAGTTGCTTTAGGCAAGTTCCAGGAGCTACCAAGGAGCTACTGAAAGGAAGACAAAATGAGCCCAGGACCTGGGAGACCAGGAAAGAACAGCTGAGAGGAGGGAGGAGAGGGCCTTACTCTTTCACTTCCACCCATCCGGGCCTGTGGCGAAGGACATCCATGAGAGTGTTCATGAGTGTGGTCTTGAAACGGATTAACGTTCTCTGCTCTCTGCAACATAAGACAGCAAAAGACATGCTCAGGACCTTGACTTTCCTAGGATGTCCCCAAGGATCGGGACAAAGGGGAGGAAGAAAAGCTAGGTTTTACCGGCAGATGCCACAGCCAGAAGTGCTGCATCTCAGTGCTCGATACCATAGCCTGCCAACATTTAGACTAGCCAAAATAAGACTCTTAGCATCTTTGAGCTATTGAAAAATAGCAAACTCCATAGTGCCTGCCTGTGATGCAGAAGACCGAGGCAGGAGGAATGCCACAAGTTCAAGGACGCCTGGATTTCAGAGTGAGTTCCAGGATAGCCTGGACCACAAAGTGAGACTTTATCTCAAAATGACAGTAACAATAATAATGATGGCTGGAAAGATATGGCTCAGTGATTAAGATCACTGACTGCTTTTCCAGAGGACCCAGGTTCAACTCCCAGCACCCACACAGCAGCTCATAACCATCTGTAACTCCATTCCCAGGGGGGATCCCAGTGCCCTCTCTGGCCTCTGTGGGTGCCAGGCATGCATAGGGTACACAAGCATGCATGCAAACATAATACCCATGCACACAAAGTAAATAATAGAGATAGTAAGCCAGGCATGGTGGTTCCTGATTGTGATCCTAGAATTTGGGAGGTGGAGGCAGGAGGATTAGTTGAAGGTCATCTTTGGCTAAATAGGTTAAGGCCAGGCTAGGCTACAGGAGACCTTATCAAAAGACAAAAATAAAACGATAAAACAAAAAGCAAACATTCCTCCCGTCCCTACTATGTGCTAGAACAGGTCTGGCTGTCTCACATATGCTGACTGATTCTTATATCACATGGTGAGTGTTTGCAGATCCCCTTCCCTGGCATTCAGCTGGGAAGAGGGAACAGATGTTCTTTTCCCTAGTCCTCCTACGAATGCAACTAAAAACCCAAGACATCATGTAGAAAACAAACCTAAGAAGACCAAATGGTAAACAGGCGGCTACCTAGAGACCTTGGACCAAAGGGATGGCACTAGTGACTTTCCCAGCTTTCTTTCTGTTTCTCTACATCTCTGATGTGGAAATGAAAAAGCCAGTCAAGGGGCATCCAGAAATGCTAATGGCCAGCGACCCTAAACGACCTTTAAAAGCAGCCTGCTTTCTCCAGCCTAGGGAAGCCCAAGACAGAACAGCCTTCCACAGCGGAATATCTAACAACGGCTCTACTGTGGTGAGCCATCAAGAGAACACCTGTTGTCCACCTCCACGGGGGCCAGCAAAGGTCAAGGGGGGAGTCCTCACTTCTCACCAATGCATCATTGCATCAATGTACCCCAACACTGGCTTTCTACTGGATGGTGCAGAGAAGGAGGAATGCAAGGCAGAGGCTTTCATCTGCCTCAGGCAGTAAGGAGTTCCCATGTCTCATGTCATAGGAGGCCAAGGGTTGGGGAGCCTGAACTTCCCGAGATGGAGGCCTGAGGTTGTCCCTCCAACTCTGGGTTGATGTTCAATGACACAATTACCAATCAACACCACTGAAAACAATCGACTGAATCAATAAAATGAAAGTTCTTGAAACTTAATATTCTCACTAATCTGATGCAAGTGTTCACATGAAGGTAGGAAGGAATGATAGTTACCATATGGTGTTGATAGGAGGGTAAATGGGCAGGAATGCAGCCTATTAAAACCACCAGCAATCCCGGAAGTGGGTGGTGGTGGCAATAGTGGTGGTGGCTCATGCCCTTTCATCCCAGTGCTAGGGAAGCAGAGGCAGGTGGATGTCTGTGAGTTCAAGGCCAGACTGGTCTACAGAGTGAGTTCCAGGACAGCAGGGTTACACACAGAAACCCTGTCTCAAAAAGGCAACCAAACAACTAAACAAAAACAAAACAAAACACCCACTATTGTGTTGTACACATGAAACTGGCAAGTCCTTAAACACTGGGAGGAAGCAGCCATTGTGCTGGCAGAGGCAGCACCGGAACATGCAAAACCTCTGAATTCAGTGCTTCGGCCAAGTGTGCTCCCGGTGTGTTCTCAGAAACGTGCAAGGACCTCTGTCAGGGACTGGCTGCTGACATTTGCTGTGGCACTGGCTGCCTACCCATATCCCCTAGGCATTCTCTACTCTGTGCATGGCAACGAGAGGGCCTTCCCCTCAGCCCCTGAACTTTTCTCCAGGGGTCACTAGGACCCAGAGCAAATCTGAAGTTTGAGGAAAAAGTCTTCTTCCCCTACCAGAGCAGACTTGGAGCCACTCTCCAGCTCTGCTTCCAGCGTCTGGGCAGATGGAGCCCACTAGCCTCAGCAACACCAGTTCCCTCCCCCTGGTTACCTGCTCTCCCCGCTTCCTGGTGCTTTCTGGAACCACCTTCCAAATATCCTGCTCTGGGTCATTATCTGGGGTGTGCGTGCTTCTAGGGGACACACCCAAGGCTTTCACTGGGAACCAGATGGGCCACACGTCTAGGCTCTGCCATGGAACAGCCTGGGGCAAAGTTCCACATGCTCAGAGCTCCACTAATCAATACTAAAACCACAATTTTTGTTTTTGCTTTTTTTTACTTTTGGTTTTTCAAGACAGGGCTTTTTCATATTGCTTTGGAGGCTATCCTGGAACTTGCTCTATATACCAGGCTGGTCTTGAACTCACAGGGATATGCCTGCCTCTGCCTCCCAAGTGCTGGGATTAAAGGTGTGAGCCACCAATGCCCAGCCAATTTTTGTATTTTTATTATGTTTTATGAAAATGTAATTTTATATGACAAAATCAGGATGCAGGGGAGAAATGAAACCAATAGGTTACTTATATCCCCAGCTCCTGAGCAGTCAGGGATGGCCCTGTGACATGGTTATGATCAATAAGATAAAAACACAAAGAAGGCTGAGCTTCTGGGAAAGTTTTGGAGGGATGTGCCTGGAACCCCACCCCCTACCTCTTCCTGTCTTGGTTGTTATTGTTTTGTGTTTTTTTGTGAGATAGGCCCTCAGGTAGCCCAGGAAGATGTTAACTCTCAATCCTCCTGCCTGGACTTCAGTAGGCATGAGATAACAGATGTGAACCACCACGCCCAACTCAATTGTGACCCCAAGGCTGGAGCTGCTGCAGCTACTGAGTGCCCATGAGGGATCAACACAATCATAGAGGGTTGGCCTCAAACCTCTGCAGCCACACTGTGGCCACTTCAGCCTACTAGGGAAATAAATGTAACTTGCTGTTGTGTTGCTTGTAGCCAAACAAAACAGGTTTCTAATTGGCAGGTGCCCTGGTACAAACAGCCAGGTGGGTCCTGTTGACTGAAGTTCTCTTGGCTTCACTAGGGTAGGGATACAAGTTCAGGGTCAAGACCTGGGGCCATGTTAAGGAGCTCTGCATGTAAGGGAGAGAGAGACTTGACATTGATGAGTTGGTACCAACCATATGGAAAGAGAGGCTGGAAGAGCCCCGAGAGAGCTGCCTGAAGTCACCACACGAGCCACAGAAACATCAGTGAACAGTAAAAATCAAATGCTGGCTACAATGTGTGCAGTACAAACCCCTCCACACCCCAAAAGTCTCCAGTAAAGAGTATTGCTCTCCAGCTTGGTCCAGGTGGGTTGTGCTTAGGGCAGACTAGTAGGTGCTGAACTCAGAGCCCAGGCTGTTATGGATGCAGAGTGCCAGAGAGGAGGGATCAGTGTACACTACAAGCATAGGGTTAACAAGACTAGTTCCCACGTCCAACCAGCCCTGCCTCATGAGTGCAGGATTTCCAGCAAGACAGGCACTTGGTTCTTCTGAGTGTTTGGTTTCTCCATATGTACAGTGAACATGTTAGCAGGATCTACATCAAGGGTGGTGATAAGGATTTCATGACAGCACAGGGAGTAGTGGGGTGACCCAGGGCCTGACTTTGCATAATAAACAACTGTTTACTAGGATTACTAGGGTTACAATAATAATTATAAGCTAAATAATGGAGAGACGGCCAGTTGTCATGGAGCTCACCTGTGATCCCATTGTGAGTTCAAGATCAGCCTGGTCTACAAATGGAGAACCCTAACTCAAAAGGACAAATGTGGGGAGGGTAAAGTCAGAAAGAGTAGGGGAAGGGCAGAGAGAAGTGGGGGAGGGAAAGAGGGCAGGAAGGAGGGCCAATCATGTGGGTATGTATTGAATGAGACCACTCACCGCTCTTTTCCTTTGGACAATCCATGGGCCTTGTAACTTTGATTCTGTAGAGAGAAAAGAAAAATGATGTAATTGGTTTTACACACCCACCTACCTTCTCTGCTCAGCCTAGTTCAGTGAGTGAGCTGCTCAAATCACTACACTCAGTGGGGTGTAGGTCCTCAGGCATGAACGTCCAGCTTGGCTGTGTTCTCCCTCGTCATCTCTGCCCAGAAATCAGGGCAGAACTAACCTGCTTACCAAGAAATGAATTCTTCATCACTGGGAATTGTGCCACAGGCAAGATTGCTATATAAAGGTCTGCTCATCAGTGCTTCAAATGCCAACCCAAAGCCCAGCTTGAGAGCTCCTCTGGCTCCATGAGACGAGTCTGGACCTTCCATTCTAACTTTGGATGTTAATTGTACACAAGATCTAGGAAGGGACTATTGGAGTTGTTTTTGTTTTGTTTTGTTTTGTTTTTGTTTTTTTCATCTTTGCTCTTTGGGGTCTGCCACCCAGCTCCCAAATAAATACACAGAGACTTGTTCTAACTTTTGAATGCCTGACCTTAGCTTGGCTTGATTCTATACAACTTTTCTTAATTTAAATTATCCCATTTACCTTTTGCCTTTGAGCTTTTACTATTCTCTAATCCATATGTCTTTCTTATTTCTTACTCCATTGCTGGCTGTGTGGCTGGGTGGCTGGCTTCTGGTGTCTTCCTCTCCTTCTCCTTTTCTCTCTCCCCCTTCTTTCTTCTACTATTTATTCTCTCTTCCTGGAAACCTTGCCTATCCCTCTCCATCCTAGCTATTGGATGGTCAGCTCTTTATTAAACCAATCAGGAGTTTTAGGCAGGCAAAGTAGCACAGCATCATAGAGTTAAACAAATGGTTGCATTTGTTTAAAAGAATGCAATACATCTTTGCATCATCAAACAAATATTCCACAGCGTAAATGAAATGTAACACACCTTCAACTAATATTCCACAACAGACTATGCCTATTTCTCAGAGTGATTTCCTTATACCCCAAAAGATCTATTCAATCCTCTATGGGTAAGGGTGTTGTTTGGCTCCAATCAAGTTCCAAAAGACTGTTGGCCCCAGTCCTGGTTGGATTGCTCTCTGAGGCATGCATGAATAGGGAAAAAACTGGCCCTGTTCAGGATGACAACCTCAGGATGGATGGACTTTTCTATTGCCCTTTAACACAGTAACACAGATGTAGTGTCTATGCACCCATTATCACATTGTTTCCATGGGTGGATAGTCTGTTCACACAGCTTAACTGAACTGTCTGCACATGTCTTACATGGCCACATCATGTGGCCACATCAAGTGCCTCACAAGAGATAGTTCTCTTTTGTAGTAGGGGGTTTCTTCCACTCTCAATTACATTGTGGGGATAAGTCAGTTCCTTGGGGTAATAGGACAGAGGTCCCTGGTGACTCATCAGCTGGGGCTTGCTCCCCAAACTCTAGAGACATGGATGTCTGTTGTAGAATACAGAGTTTGGAGTTTGTCCAACTGGCTTTCAGTCTTGCTTTGGTCCAGTATTTTCTGACTATGATCCCTGTCCAACATTTTGGAATGGTAAGGTATATTCTGTGTCATTATTTGTTGGAAGTATGTGATCTGTTTTTTGATTCTGATATTATAGAGAATTACAGTTAGAGATTGAATGAATCTCAGAAAAGAGCTTGAACTCTGGACTTTAAAACATTGTTAAAGGTGGGTTTCTTCACCTTCTATACACATCCTTAGCCATCAGGAAAATGCAAATCAAAACAACTCTGAGATATCATCTTACTCCTGTCAGAATGGCTAAAATCAAAAACACCAATGCTAGCTTATGCTGGAGAGGATGTGGAGAAAGAGGAACACTCCTCCACTGCTGGTAGGAGTGCCAACTCATGCAGCCACTTTGTAAATCAGTATGCTGGTTCCTCAGGAAAATGGGAATGAGTCTACCACAAGATCCAGCAATTCCACTCTTAGGCGTATACCCAAAAGAAGCACATTCATACAACAAGGACATCTGCTCAACCATGTTCATAGCAGCATTATTTGTAATATCCAGAACCTGGAAGCAACCTAGATGCCCCTCAACTGAAGAATGGATGGAGAATTGTGGTACATTTACACAATGGAGTACTACTCAGTGGGGGGGGGGAACAATGGAATCTTGAAATTCGCAGGCAAATGGATGGAACTAGAAGAAACCATCCTGAGTGAGGTAACCCACTCACAAAAAGACAAACATGTTATGTACTCACTCATATATGGATTTTAGACATGGAGAAAAGGATTACCAGCCTACAATCCACACTGCCAGAGAAGCTAGGAAACAAGGAGGACTCTAAGAGAGAGACATACATGGTTCCCTGGAGAAGGAGAAAGGGACAAGATCTCCTGAGCTAATTGGGAGTGAGGGGGGAGGGGAGAGAGAGCTAGAAGAAAGAGGGGGGAGAAGAGGAGGGAAGAGGAGGACTGGAGGGAACAGGAATCAAGTCAGGGGAAGAATTGAGGAGAGCAAGAAAAGAGATACCACAATAGAGGGAGCCATTATAGGTTTAAAGAGAATTTGGGCACTAGGGAAATGTCCACAGATCTATGAGCTTGACCCCAACTAACAATCTAAGCAGTGGTTGAGAGGCTACCTTAAATGCCCTTCTCCAAGAATGAGATTGATGACTATCTTATATGCCATCCTAGAGCCTTCATCCAGTAGCTGATGGAAACAGAGGAAGACACCCACAGCTAAACACTAAGCTGAACTCTGGAATCCAGTTGCAGAGAGGAAAGAGTGGTGAGCAAAGGGGTCAGGACCAGACTGGAGAAACCCACAGAAACAGCTGACCTGAACAAAGAGGGGGGATTATGGACCCCAGACTGATAGCTGGGAAACCAGCATAGGACTGTTCCAGACCCCCTGAGCAAGGATGTCAGTTTGGAGGTCTGGGCAATCTATGGGGCCTCTGGTAGTGGGTCAGTATTTATCCCTAGTATACAAATGGACTTTGGGAGCCCTCTCCACATAGAGAGATTCTCTCTCAGCCTAGACACATGGGAGAGGGTCTAGGTCCTGCACCAAATGATATGACAGACTTTCAAGATCCCCATGGAAGGCCTCACCCTCCCTGGGGAGCAGAAAGGGGTTGGGATGGGGGGTGGAGGGCAGGGAAGGAGGAGAGGGAGAGGGAACTGGGATTGACATGTAAAAGAATCTTGTTTCTAATAAAAAATAAAAATAAAATAAACATTGTTAACACTGTGATAGTCTTTGGGGACTTTTGAAATTAAACTAAATCTATTTTGCATTATGGTATTGTTACAAGCTTATGGTGGTCAGGGAATAGAATGTGGTAGTTTGAATGTAATTGCCCCCCATAAACTCATAGGGAGTGGTACTTTTGGGAGGTGTGGCTTTGTTGGAGTAGGAATGGCCTTGTGGAGGAAGTATGTCACTGTGGAGGTGGGCTTTGAGATCTCATATATGCTCAAGCCATGCCCAGTATCTCAGTCCACTTCCCGTTGCCTTCTGATCAAGATGTAGCCAACACCATGTCTTCCTGCACACCTCCATGTCCTGCCATAATGATTATGGACTAAACCTCAGAAAATGTAAGCCACCCACTCCAATTAATTGCTTTTCCTTTATAAGAGTTGCTTCCATGGCCATGGTGTCTCTTCACAGCAATAGAAACCCTAACTAAGACAGAGGTTGTGATGATATATTGTTTATGATTTATTAAAGCTACTGGAGATCAAAATACCAAAGCAACCATGCTAGTTAGCCATAGAAGCCAGGCACACACCTTTAATCCCAGGACTCAGAATTAAGAGGTAGACGAATCTCTGTTAGTTCAAGGCCATATTGAGCTACACAAAATTGATCCAATCCTAAAAAGAAACAGCTCACACAAAGATGATTTTAGTACTTGGGTTCACATGCCTTTAATTCCAGGACTCATGAGAGGTATTTAAGACAGGAAGAGGGTCTCAGAGCTGGCATTCATTGGGGCTGGCCACATTGAGGATAGGAAGGCATTGACTGGAGTCTTTAACCATATTAAGGAGAACATAGCAGTCTGGGATTTCAGTCTGAGGTTTGGTGGAGCCCGGATTGCCTTTCAGTCTAAGGTAGAGTTAAGGGCTAGTGGCTGGCTGCTTTGCTTTTCTGATCTTCAACTTGAAGCTTGAACTCCAATATCTGTCTCTGGGTCTTTTATTTTTCGTGCTACAAGAGGTCAGTCAAGGTTGGGTGTCTTTCTCAATCAGTCTCCATCTTATTTTTGAGGCAGCATCTTTCACAGAACCTAGAACTCACTGAGTCAGCTAGACTGAGTAGCCAGTAAGCCCCGGGGATCCTCCTGACTTCACCTCTCTAGTGCTGGGATTACAAGTGCAGGATACCACACCTACTCTCTCTCTCTCTCTCTCTCTCTCTCTCTCTCTCTCTCTCTCTCTCTCTCTCTGTGTGTGTGTGTGTGTGTGTGTGTGTGTGTGTGTACTGGGAATCAAATCCAGGTCCTGATGATTCTAACTTGTGATAGGCAGAAAAATACCATCCCAAAAGTATCCATATCCAAATCCCTAGAGCCTATAAATATGTTACATTACAAGCTAAAGGAAATTAAGGATCCGCTGGAATTAAGTGGCTACTCCAGCGACCTTACAATAGAGAGATCATTCTAGCTATCGGAATAGATCTGACGTAATCGCAATGATCTGAACTGTAGATGAAGGAGGCAGGAGTGTCAGAACGATGAATGTGAGGAAGATGGGCTTTGACAGCAAAGGGAGACCAGAAGCCAATGAGCGAGGGCAGCCATTAGATACCAGAACAGGCAAGAATAGGCGGGCCTAGGAATACAGCTTTCCATTGTGTCTTCACCTAACACCTCACTTCACACTTCTGACCACGGCCTGTTATATAACAAGCTTTCTAAGCCAATATATTTGTGGTAGCTTGTTACAGTAATGACTGGAAACAGACACAAACAGAAGCAAAACTAATGTATAGTACCTATAGTCTGCACCCTTGCTGACTAGAAATGGAAGTTGCT